GCCTATAGTACAGTACCTGATGTACCTGCCTGTGGTACCAGATGTACTTGATACCTGTAGTACCTGATATACCAGATGTACCTGGTACCTGTAGTGCGAGATGCACCTGCCTGTAGTGCGAGATGTACCTGCCTGTAGTGCGAGATGTACATGCCTGTAGTACCTGATGTACATGCCTGTAGTACCAGATGTACATGCCTGTAGTACCTGATGTACCTGCCTGTAGTACCAGATGTACCTGCCTATAGTACAGTACCTGATGTACCTGCCTGTGGTACCAGATGTACTTGATACCTGTAGTACCTGATATACCAGATGTACCTGGTACCTGTAGTACCTGATATACCAGATGTACCTGGTACCTGTAGTGCGAGATGCACCTGCCTGTAGTGTGAGATGTGCCTGCCTGTAGTACCAGATGTACATGCCTGTAGTACCTGATGTACATGCCTGTAGTACCAGATGTACATGCCTGTAGTACCAGATGTACATGCCTGTAGTACCTGATGTACATGCCTGTAGTACCAGATGTACATGCCTGTAGTACCTGATGTACCTGCCTGTAGTACCTGATGTACTTGGTACCTGTAGTACCAGATGTACATGCCTGTAGTACCAGATGTACTTGGTACCTGTAGTACCTGATGTACCTGCCTGTGGTACCAGATGTACTTGGTACCTGTAGTACCTGATATACCAGATGTACCTGGTGCCTGTAGTACCAGATGTACATGCCTGTAGTACCAGATGTACATGCCTGTAGTACCAGATGTACATGCCTGTAGTACCTGATGTACCTGCCTGTGGTACCAGATGTACTTGGTACCTGTAGTACCTGATATACCAGATGTACCTGGTGCCTGTAGTACCAGATGTACATGCCTGCAGTACCAGATGTACATACCTGTAGTACCAGATGTACCTGCCTGTGGTACCAGATGTACCTGGTGCCTGTAGTACCAGATGTACATGCCTGTAGTACCAGATGTACATGCCTGTAGTACCAGATGTACCTGCCTGTAGTACCAGATGTACCTGCCTGTACTACCAGATGTACCTGCCTGTAGTACCTGGTACCTGTAGTACCTGGTACCTGTAGCCTACCTGGTACCTATAGTAACTGGTACCTGTAGCCTACCTGGTACCTGTAGTACCTGGTACCTGTAGTAAGTGGTACCTGGTACCTGTAGTAACTGGTACCTGTAGTACCTTGTACCTGTAGTAACTTGTACCTGTAGCCTACCTGGTACCTGTAGTAACTGGTACCTGTAGCCTACCTGGTACCTGTAGTAAGTGGTACCTGGTACCTGTAGTAACTGGTACCTGTAGTACCTTGTACCTGTAGTAACTGGTACCTGTAGCCTACCTGGTACCTGTAGTATGTGGTACCTGTAGTACCTGTAGTACCTGGTACCTGTAGCCTACCTGGTACCTGTAGTATATGGTACCTGTAGTACCTGTAGTACCTGGTACCTGTAGCCCACCTGGCTTTCTGTGGGATTCTGTGGAACCATAAGACCCCCTTTAACTCATGCATGTAACCCACCCTTCAGCAGCATCTAACCTTCCCTTCCCCAGGCTCGGTTCGGTTCGGTCCTACCTCCATATCTGTCCCAGCTGCAGGATGTGGATGACGGACTGGCCGAACCAGACGCAGAGGGAGTAGTAGGCCGGTGTGGCCCGGTTGTGTCCGGCCGGCCCGGTGCTGGCGGTGCTGTTGGAGGTGGTGTTCCTGCTGGCGGTGGAGGCCTGTCTCTGCGGGGTGGCCGGGGGCTGCTGGGCCGTCACGTCCCCGTGGGAGGCCGAGCCGGACAGCAGCTTGTTCCCGTCCACATGGGAGCAGTCCACGGCGGACTCGGAGCTGTCCTCGGTACCGAAGTCGTGGACGAACCACCGGAAGCTGAAGAGCTGCACGGAGAAGGAGCCCAGAACCACGAAGAACAGGGTCAGGCCGAACCACCAGTAGTCCCGGTGCAGGTAGTAGTCCACGGACAGCCAGACGTCGGTTCCGACATCAGCCAGGTACACGGCCACCGCCGCCAGAACCCACAGGCAGTCCCACACCGAGTACTGCTGCTGCTGCGGGCCGGGCCGGAGGCACCGAGAGCCGGGGCCGCTGCCGCCGCAGCACCGGGACTCCCCGTTAACCAGGTCCCCGTCCCCGGTGCACGCAGAGTCCGCCGGCTCTCCCGGGTGGAGCCCCTGAACCGAACCGGAGTGTTCGGAGTTCTGCAGGAGCGTGAAGGCCACGTCGCTCCGCTTCATCTTCAGCACCCCGTCAGATTTAGCTGCCATGACCGGAACCGGACTGGAAAAGGACGGCTTCTGGACCCTGTCTGCCCCCCTAGTCCTCCTGCTTGGACCGGATTAGCTCCTCCATGCCCCCCTCGGCCCGGAACACACGATGGAGACAAAAACCAGGGCCGAACCGAGCCTCGGACTAGCTCCGGTTTCTGGGTCCATTTCACCTTTTTTTCACTGAAGCGGTCCGGAACAGGATGCTTTTCCCCTGGTCCAACCTGATCCTGGTCCTGGTCTTGGTCCTGGTCCAATCACCTGTCCCTACAGAGTCCTGATTCTGAGGAAGATCCGGATGGAAACATGGACCGACAGAACCGAGGACGGCTGCAACCATCAGAATCCACCATGCAGACCACAAACCATGACATCATCTCTCTCCTCACGCCCCCACCGAACCCCACCGACCACCGAGCCCTACCGAGCCCCCTCCTCCCTCTGTTTCACATCTATCTATCTATCTATCTATCTATCTATCTATCTATCTATCTATCTATCTATCTATCTATCTATCTATCTATCTATCTATCTATCTA